TGAAACCGATTCTTTCGGTTTTTATGATTGAGAAACCAACATAAACCATATACTACTGTTCCATTTTATCGATTTTGTTGATTTGATATAGAAGAGAAATTTATATTAAATTTTAAAAGGTTTTATAGATTATAAAATTTTGCATTGAAAATAAATGAAGAAAATATATGAAAATTGCTCTATAAATGTTTTTCTCCCTAGTTTTTATCACAAAATTATATTATATTAGTCATTTCTCATATAATGTTCAAGAAATTATGATATAAAAATATTTAATATAATATTTAGTTGGTTCGATTTGCATCAGTATAAAAAAATTTAAAATCGAAACATACCTTATATTATGAAAAATAGACCGAAAACTAAAATTTCGGTCAATTTCGATCGGTCAACTCGGTTTTATCGATTTTTCTTACATCCTTAACAAAAACCATAGATTCATGTTTAACAATATTTGCTTAATGTTATGTTTTTGTATAGTGGGCTTGTTATTATTATTTTTAAAATTTATGATAGGCCGAATATTTTTAAAAATGTTATATGATTTTTCAGGTGAACAAATTATGTAAAATCATGATTCCAAACTAAGCTAAACCGTGTTGAAATGGTTTGGTTTGAATTGATTCCATGATTCAAATGAATTGATTTGGTTCCAATTTTTACAAAACTGTATACAACGGATTGATCCTAATTTTACCCCAAACCAAATCAATTTAGACCATACTCGCCCCTACACATCATTATTTAATCAAAACCCGAAGGGCCCAATTTTGTTTGTGGCCTGGCCTGCCCTGCCTTTCACCCATGAACTAATGAAATTTCAGACAGTTACGAACTGGTCTTGTTAGGGGTGCTCACAGAACTGACGGATTCACCAAAATTGATCTATCTGGCTTAAATTGATCGATCTGACCTAATCCACTTGTTTTTAAGTGGTTTCGATAATATGGATCGATAGATGCGGATGAAGATTTTTCAAATCTACTTCGGACGGATAGCAGATGAGTGGTCACCCAACTCAATGCGATCCGCCAAACCTCTTTAAGAAAATGATATAATATTTTTGTGCTTTATATGTTTAAAATAAAAAATAAAATAAAATAAAGACATTTAATTTATTAATAACATTAGCTATTTATGAAATATGAAAGTTTGAGTTTCATTTTAATTATAAAAAATAAATAATACAAAATTTTGTATTCAAACAAGGCTCAAAAGAGTAAAAAAAATTAATAGTTCAAAAAATATAAAATAGTAAAGCTTAAACCACTAAATCCATCTGCATCGGCCAACTAAGTGGACGAATGCGGATTTATTTTTTCCAATCCACTTAAATTCGGACGGATGACAGATATGAGGCCACTTGACTCAATTAACAAATACAATTCAGCTAGTTACACTTTCCATATCATATTTTAATGCAAACTAACACAAATAAATCAAAATTCACAAACAAAAGTCAAAATGTTCGAATCATTTATTACTTTAATAAATTTCTTAAGATCATTATAAATATCAAATAATCATTTTACAAACACAAAACATATCTAAAAAGTCTTAAAATTTTCTTATTATCAAAACAATATTACATACAAGATTTTTTTTTTCTTTATAAAAAAAAAAATCACTTAGGATTTACGAGTAAGTCCAATCAATATAAACTGTTGGTAACAATTTCAAAAAAATTAAATACAATGGTAATACTACATCATCGCTAACACCATTTAATAATATATTATCATGTTGCCACTATATGTATATAGCGGTTATTGAATTATTATTAATTAGAAAGCTACATTGAATAGTGGGATTCACAATCCACACAAGTTAGTGGGTGTTGAAAGGTACAAGGTATTAGGTCTAGTAGATATATATATATATATATATATATTGTGCGAAATTCACCTTTTGTGAAATAATTTGATGAGGAGTTCATTTATTATTTTTGTGGACATTTTATTTTCAATTTTATCCCTTAATCTATCTGTTTAATTTTTTTAACGATTTGTTCAAATATTTTATCCGTTTAAATTTTTTTGACCATCTGTTCAAATATTTTTTTTATCTGTTCAGTTTTTTTGATTATCTGTCAAATTTGTATCTATTTGTTGAAATTCCTTATCTATTCAAAAATCTATCCAAATTTTATTATATGTTCAATTTTTTACTTATTTGTTCAAATTCTCAAATTTTATTATATGTTCAATTTTTTACTTATTTGTTCAAATTCTCATACATACACAAATAAAAAGAGAGGTCCTATAATTTTATTATCTGTTCAATTTTTTTCCCTTATCTTTTTAAATCTCTATCCAAAATGATACATTATTCCAAAATCCTCTATCTGTACAAAGAACAAATGGTAGAGAAAGATCCAAAATCAAAAAAAAAAAAAAAACAACAACACAAACAACAACCAAATCAAATCTAAATCATCAATATCTCATATCATCAAAAAAAAAAAAAAAAAAAAAAAATCAACAACACAAACAACAACCAAATCAAATCTAAATCATCAATATCTCATATCATCAATAGATTCAAGATATTTCGGTAAGATTACTGAGAAAGAATCCAAATTCAATACAATCGTCAGTTTTAGCCTCGGAGCGGCGGTGTTCCTGGCAAGGCCATCGGAAATGTTGATGATTATAGTTTCTCAAAATAAATAGATTTAAACAAATTCAGTGGAGCCGAGCCATACTTACAAACAGGCTGGAGCTCAAGTTCATGAAGAACAAGAGGCAGATATTGTGAATAAAGCTGATGCACACCAAAGCCAACCTCATCTCTACCATTACACCACCGTTATCTTATCTTTATAGATATACATACACACATACAAATAAAAACAACTAGTGGGTGGCACATGCGATACATGTGCAATTCAAATAATTAATAATAAAAACAAATAAAAAAGAATTTAATATTATAATATGTATGTTGCTTAAGTGATAAATACACTATTATTAAGTGAAGCCCTAAATTGGTTTAGTGAAGTCTACTTTTTATGTCATGTGTCAACTTTATATATGCTAAAATAAAAAAATTATTATACATAGCGTAAGTAAGTTTTGAACCTAAGACCTTAGGTTTCATTAAAAACATAATTATCACTTAAGCAACATACACATTACAATATTAAATTATTTATTATTTTTATTTTATTATTGATTATCTGAATTACACATGTATCACGTGTGTCACCAGCTAATAGATGACTAAGTCAAGAATCTAAAAATAAAAATAAAAATAAAAATAAAAAAATTAGTAGAGAAAGGTGGTGGAGTTTTGAGATCAGATATCTCAAAAGGTGAATATGAGATCAGAGATCTAAGATTGGAGATCATGAACCGAAGACCTTAAGTTTCATTAAAAACATAATTATCACTTAAGCAACATACACATTACAATATTAAATTCTTTATTATTTTTTTATTATTATTGATTATCTGAATTGCACATATATCACGTGTGTCACCAGCTAATAGATGACTAAGTCAAGAATCTAAAAATAAAAATAAAAATAAAAATAAAAAAATTAGTAGAGAAAGGTGGTGGAGTTTTGAGATCAGATATCTCAAAAGGTGAATATGAGATCAGAGATCTAAGATTGGAGATCAGAGACCGACACGAATGATCAGAAAGCAAACGACGGTGCTGTTGCTTTAGCCGCAACAGGAGGGGGTAAAATTTAAATTTGAATTTATGGGTTGAGTGCTTATTTTAAAAAATCTTTTTTGTCTTTGGTATATATGTATTTAATACTACTCCGATCAGTCTTGTATAGATGAATTTAAAATTTTGAATATTTTTAAAATACAAAAAAAAAAAAAAAACACAGTAAAAGCCAAAAATAAAAACACACGCACAAAAAAACCTATTTTTTGGCCCCTTTGTTTAAAATTTATAAAAAGTTACTTTTTTTAGTACGTCTAATTGAATAGAACTCAAAAATATTTTTTTAATTATTTTTTAAAAAATCACTAAAAATGAAAAAAAGTCAAAAAAAAAAAAATTCATCTACTGATGATAGTGTGGTACAATTAGGGGTGGACAAACATCGGACTGGGTTGGATTCGAGCCCGACTTACACTATACACTAAGAGTATTTATATGTCATTCCAAACCTGGCTCAATCCGACACCGGGTCTAACCTTACCATCCCAAGCCCAACCCTAAAACAATATCTAAATTCTAAACCCACTCACTTAATCCAATAAATAAATAAAAAAAAAAAATTGTCTTAAAGGACCATTCAATTATTTAAACCCTTTTAATAATTGTTTAAATTTGAAATATTAATAAACTTTAATTATAAAATAAATATAGTATTTTAGGAAGTTCTTTAATTTAATCTAAGTTATAGGAAAAAGTATATATATGTATGAATTTTTCTTTATCTTTCGTTTTTCTAATTTATTTTGTAACTAAATAATATAAAAATTAAAATTAATCATTTCTAAATGGGCAAGCCTAGCCTGACCAAACTGGGCTAAAATTTTTTGTTTCAAATTTAGTATGATATTTAAATGGACTAAGAAATTTTGTCCAATCCAATCCTATGAGCTAAATTTTTTTTGTAAATTCCAAAAAATATCAGGTTGAATTAGACAGACTAAGCAGGCCATCGAGCCGATGGCTACCCCTAGGCATAACTGTTAATTAAGTTTTTACTCCAAAATTAAGACACTTGACTAATAAATCCCTTTCAGCCTCGTTTGGTCACAGTATTAAAAGGAATTAGAAGTCCCAAAAAAATGTGAAGCCACCTTAATGTAATTTTAGTCCCTTTTTTTTTTTTTTTTTTTTTTTTTTTTTTTTTTAAATCAGATTGTGTGCTTCGATCCCTCACATAGGTGTAATTACCTAGTTTGAACAACAAATAGCAATTGGTTGCGCAAATGGTTATAAGCATTCCCACACCGGCTATGCAGCCACAGCCCCCTATCTTATGGCTTTGTATAAGAAATTGTTTGAGACAATATACAAAGCCACGCAGCCACGTGGTGTGCACGGAGCGAACTATTCTTTCGCCTTTTACTAAAGAATACCCTGTCCACGCCGCATGTAGTGTCATACGCATATTTTTGGAGGGGTTCTTCTTCTCAGTTGGGAAGACAGACCTCCATTAAAGCAATTAAAACGTTTTTTTTATTTTTATTTTATTTTGTGTGTGTGTGTGTTTTTTATGTTTGTTTGTTTTTGTATTGCTTTTGTGGGTAATGGGTTGGTTAAGATGTTTTAATGGGTTTGTATGACCTATATATATATATATATATATTTTTTTTTTGATCGGTAAATAAAAACTTTATTGATGAAAACCAAAGTATTATATTAATAAAGAGAAGTTTGGAGATAAAAGAAGCTCCAACCTCCTAGTTGGTGAGAAACCAACTCATAGATCATAACAAAAGAACAAAACCAACCAGAGCACCAAAGAAAAGGCACACAAAGAACAACAGGAGGCACTCTAGCTCCAGCTAACAGATCAAATAGCATGCAAGATTAAACCCATAGAGCAGACCACGAAGATACACAAAGGCATAGTACTCTGCCGCCAGAACCCAAGCTGATAAACTTCAAACTTGCTAGCTAATATGGTGAAGGATGAACATCTATCTGACCCACATAGCCACCTGCAATTTCAACCTTCCCCACATACCTCTGTTCTGCCTGAGCTGATAGCTGAGAAGACTTCAAACGAGCAACCTAATCTGGTAAAGGTTTGTAACAAGATCATGGACTGAATAATCAACCTTGAAGGACCACTTGTAGACGTCCCTGAACGTCCCGAGAGGGAAATCCCGTTTTGTTCATATGGGCTCACTACAGTTCAGGACTCAAATGTCACGGTCCTGTATCTAATCTCGCGGAGTGCAATGCAAGACCGATGAATCATCAAAGAGTCCAAATCCGGCAAATCGTTTTTGAAAACAGATTTTTTGAAAGAAGTGCCAAACATGGACTGCTTTGCCAGATACAGAGTCGCCACCTAAATATTTTATTTTGGGGGAATTTAGGAAACCCTGACTCGTTGCCTAAGGCCACGTGTCCGTCATCACCAAGGTTGCCTCGGCTCGGGAACTTGGGTATGATCGGGGAAGGTCAGTTCGTGAGCATCCCCGCTCGGCCGATCAAAGATCGGCCTCTACTAACCATGATATCTAGTTTTGAAAACATTATGCGTTCTTATTCCGGTTATTAGCCTAGATTTACTATGTGATGCGCACAGCATACAAGTATAGACCGGATCGCTGAAAATGAAACAAAACATATCATAAAGCAAATGAAACAAAACGTATTATTAGGCATTACCAAATATATTATTAATCATATACCAACACAATTGTAACCATCTTTATTTGTATTCTCAAGTATGAATGAAATGTACCACCACAATCATTACACTAATTACATCATCAAGTACCAAAAAAAAAAAAAAAAGTCCCAAAATCAAAAAACTATACATAGAAAACAAAATTTTTATTTTCTCTATTTTTTTGCACATTGTTTTTGTAAAAAGTCAAAAAAAAAATTCAAATATATTAATTTTTTTACTTTATGTTTTAGCAAAAAACTTAAAAAATTATTAAAATAACCTATTTCAAAATCAATCCTAAAGTAAAATTTGAGTCAAATTAAGGGGTTGTTTGGGGTGTCCTAAATAAGTGTACTTTTTTATTTTTTATGAAATATGGATTGGGTATGAGTTGTGTTTGAAATGATGTAATAGAGAGGTGATATGACTTAAATAAGATGATGTGACTTAAATAAAATAGTAACTTTTTGGCTTTTTGATTTTTTTAGGTTATGACAAATGATGCCAAAATAAATTAAAAAGTCAATAAGACAAAATATCACATCAAAACCATAATTATTTCATTTTTACTCTCAAAAATTAAAAAAGCTAAAAAGCTCATCCTAAACGAAACTTTTTAACTCCGAATTAAAATAATCAAAAAATTAAAAAGTCAACTCACATTTGAATCGAAGGCATAGTGCGGTTGATTTTCGCATGGTTGTTGATGTTGTTCTTCACCTTTTATGTTAGTTGTGTTGGTGGAAATTAAAGGGAAGGTGTTATGGAAAATTGTAATTGTATGGTTGATGTAAGCAATGCTCGTGCCACCAATCACGCATATCGATGCATGATGGCCGAGGAGTCGAATTGCACAACTCAATATGAAATGAATGCACATAAAAACACAACAAGACCTAAACTCCATCATGGGTAATCCGGAGTGTCGGCGACAGGGAATTAAGACATGTTCTGTCACTCGGAGTACGAAACGTCCCTCGTTTCCCGTGCTCGGGCTAACTCCTATCCCAAACACGATGCGAATGAGATGGCATACACAATGCGACTAACATAAAATCTAGCATACGCAATGCTATAAAATGGCATACACAATGCTCGATGTAGCATGGCATACACAAAGTTCTAACACGCAACCTAACATACGCAATGCTATGAAATGAAAAGGCATACACAATGCATAATGGACTTACACCAACATGAGTGGACCTCAGCCACACTCACATCAGTGGCCATGAGATGGAAAAGAGACAACCGGAATGCGTGCACACATGTACGCATACCGAGGACCGAACCTAGGGCGTAAAATGTCACTCTACTAAAGCATGGCAAGGGATGAAAGATGGCATACAAATAGGTAATTTCCAGCGCTGAAACATGATGCTAAATGGTCTCGAAACATGGAAATATGGCACCCGATGCATGGAATAAGCCTCGAAACTCAAAACTAGGCACATGTATTGAACTACAAGTATACAAAGCAAGCATTATTTGATCATGAAGTCAAAAGACAGAGCCAAGGCAGTTCCAAAACATGCACATTTCTAGTTTAGAGCATGGCCAAAAGATGCTAACATAATGGACTAAAATAGCATGCAGCATTGGCTAGCAAGCATGGTTTACATGGCATGTATATGAAGAAAATGAGAACTCATCAAACTAGTCAAAAACAATGAATAAAACATGCCAAAATATGCCCAAATAATCACTGAAATGCAGCCAATGCATGCAAAAATGAGGGGCTTCTTTGGAGGGCCTTGCAAGGGGTTGTTAAGCACATACAAGATAGAAACTTAGCATGGAAAAACCAACTCTGGAAATGGATTATGACAGCCCTAAAACTCACCAAATAGGCCCTGAAATCAGTCTAGGAAACATGCAAAGAAAGGCTCCTTTGAAGAGCCTTGGATGGGATTGCTCTACACATACATTGTAGGTATAAAATATGGCCAAAAGGGCCTTGGTCAGCGCCAAGGCAGACCTCAAAACTCACAGAATGAGGCCTAAAACAAGACTTCGATGCATGCAAAACAGGGTCCCTTTGGAAGGCCCAAAAGACCCCCAAACAAAACAAGGAGAGAGGGGGTCACCCCCCTCTAATTTTGGCCCTCAAAAATACATCTAAGCCACTGAAAATCCACTGGATTTCAGTGGCTAAGAGGCCAAACCATGGCCAATGCAAGTGCTCTAATGCATAGCCTTAATCTTGAAGAGATGAAGCATGCATAAGGGGAAGATGACCCCAAACGGAAATGGGACCTTAACCAAACTTGAAGAGGATGTCAAAAAAAGATTTTTTCCAGTTTATAGAAAATCTCGAAAATGCTCACAACTATGGCCAAGATAGGATGCAAAAATAGCCCTAAAAGAGAGATTGAACAAACAAGGAAGTAAATGACTTCAAACAGTAAAATGCCCTTAAACAAAGTTGAAGAGGGGCTCAAAATAAGTCACTTTATAGTTTATAGCAAATCTCGAAAGTGCTCACAAGTAAGGCCAAGATATGATGCAAAATAGGCCTACAAAGAGGGGTAAAGCATGCAAGGGTGTAGGAGGCCTTAAACAGAAAAGTGTCCTTATACAATCTTCAAGAGGAGCTCAAAATATGACACTTTTCAGTTTATGAAAAAGTCCAGAAATGCTTTCAAATGGATTTAAAACATGGAGCAAAACAATGACCAAAAAAGGGAACTAGTGTCTTACCCTTGAAGCTCAAGAAAACAGCAGCAAAAGGGGTCCAAATTCTGAGCTAAAACCAGATTTTGGAGCTAAAAATGATCGTCAAAGAACCTCAGCCCAATGGTAGTTGAGTTTGATCAAGGGTGCCTAGGCAAATGAGAGGTATATCTCTTGCTATGCACACAAAGGCAAAAGAATGAGAGAGAGACAGAGATTTGGCTCTGGAATTTCTAGAGAGAGAGGGATTTTTTTTAGAATGAGAAGCTCCCAAAGCTTGCTTAGCCAAGATCCCCTTGAAAATGAGAGATATATCTCATATATATAAAAAATGAAAGTTGGCTCGAAAATATCTGATTACAGGACAGTTGGAGGTTGTGGAAGACAGTTGGAGGGAAAATATCTATCAATTCTGAGCTTTCTGGGCATAAGTGGTCGGCCGGCCACCTTCCCTGGTCGGCCTGCTACTTTTCCTGGTCGGCCGACCACTTTTTCAGGAGAGGGTGGTCGGGCAGCCACCTTTTCTGGTCAGCCTGCTACTTTTCTGGTTTTTCAGGACAAAAAAAAAGGTCTGCCGGAAAGAAAGGTGGCCGGCCAGTGATTTGGAAGTCCAAAAGTGGTCTTCCAGGTTTCCAAATTGAAGCCCCGGAATTTAGCTTTCCAATGGCGCAAACCTTGCATTAAAATTCCATCTATGCAAAACGTTATGCCTGTTTTAGTGAAGCCGCGCAGATTCGGTCCAACCGGGTTGATGCCCTACTTCAACCAACCATATCTCCTCCGTCCGGACTTGGATTTAGGAGATTATTGAGTGAAAAATGAAGCCCAGAAGTAAGCTTTCCAATGGTGGTGGCCTCATATCTAGCATCCAAGTATGCAAATGAATAAGCCCGATTCAGCGAGGGCTGCTCGACTCTCTCCTTCCCGGATTCATACCGAATTTCTCCCAAACTAGTTTCTTCCCTCTTCTCTTCTTTTCTTCAACTTCAAACCCCTACGTAAGGTGTTTTGAAAGATTTTTCAAAGATTTCATCTCTCTTTCATTCATTTCCACTTTGCCCTTGCTCGGTTTACCGAAAAGCGCAACATTTAACGAAATGCGAGCGTCGGAACATCGTA